TCCCCTGAGGGGCCGCGGGAGGCTGGGTGGCCGGGGCGGGGCGCCGCCGGAATTTGGCTTCCTTTCTCTTCCTTCCTCCGCTCACTTGTTTTTTTGGGGGGGCACAAAGGGTGCTCCGAATATGCCATTTGGGGAGCGTGCCTCCCGAAAGCAGTTTTGTTTTTTTCTTTCTTCCAAATATGCGAGATTCCCAGGCAGGACCAGCCCTGACTTAAAACAGGCAGCGTCGCACCAGCTCCGCGGGTGCCGCGTGGAGAGGAAAGGGTGCCGCGCGAGTCGGGGGCTTCGTCATAGGGTCCTCCTCTTGGGGCTTTTGCTGGAAATGCCCGGCTTGGAGTTTAGATGGTCCTCAGAACTCACCGTCAGGCACCTTTCGCCCTGCCGGGTGGCACTAGATGGAGGGTAGCAGGCAGAACCGTTCAATATGCAGACGAATCTCCAGATTAAAATTAATTTGTGTAATGTGCTTAAACTAGAGATGTCAGTACCAATCACTGCAGTGCGGTGTATTCCAATATTGGTTTGGATCCACTACAACTTTTTGCACAGGTTTTCAAAAAAATGTGACTTACATACTGAGGGAATAGAATTTTAAAGAGAGAGAATCTTAAGTGCTGTGAGTAGGCAAAAACGGTGTCAATATGTTGAACGATACCTTAAAATGACACAGAAACTGGTTTAAGTAAGCAATCATTACAGGGTCGAGTTCTAAAACACAAATTAAAAGCATTGGTAAGTACTCTTGAGCTTTCCTGAGCAAAAAAAAATAATGTATGTTATTGATTGTTCTTTTGCCTTAGGGCTACTGATGAAAGGCTAATAATTTGTAAGTCTGATGAATCAAATAGGGGGTTTCCTTTGCAAATTTAATTTGCATGTCTTTTAAGTGTATACATAGTAGTTCAATTTTTTTAACAATCCCCTTTCATTCTGTCAATTCTGGGGTTAAGAAGACTTTGCTATTAGATAGTGTTGCACCTAAAAATAACTGGAGTACTTTGTTTTGCATTTCAAGGCCGGATTCAGAAGCCAGCCAGAGTCCACAGTACAGCTTCGAGTCCTTACCCCAGAAGATCTGCTTAATCTGCGGGGACGAAGCATCCGGATGTCATTATGGTGTCCTTACCTGCGGGAGCTGTAAGGTCTTCTTTAAAAGGGCAATGGAAGGTAGGCTCCTTTCCCCTGATCCTTTATGGCTGGTCCAACTGCAGATGGAGACCATCTCATGTTTTATAGATGTCAGTTATCACTTCCTTCTAAGAAATGGAGACATTTCCATATAATTTAAAACATGCTGATGTTGTTTTCCATATTGTTTTTATTGATAGTACTCAAAGTTGAATGTCGTTGGGCATTATAACTGCATTTCTATTGGACTAACATTTTCAATATTAGACACAAGTTATATTAATCTTGGGGACAATGCTGTGATTGTTCATTACTATGTAGCTTTAAAGAAACAGCTTTGTTTTAATTATATATTTATATTATATATAGTATGTATTAAATTTAAATTTTTGGTGACAAGAAAAATGGTAAAAATCAAAATTATATATATGTAATTGTATATGTATATATATATATAT